CACAACCCAAGTGGTTAGATGCACTATATTAGTTAAGGTAAGTATAGACTAGATTAATGCGGAACCATTAATTAGTTAAACAATAAATCGACTTCACTGGGGATCGAACCCAGGATCTCTGGTTTCGTAGACCAGCGCCTTATCCATTGGGCCATAAAGTCCTTAGCCATTATGTACATTTAATTGCAATTAATTATAACATTGGAAATGATTTGTATTAACTCGTTGAAAAACAAGTCGGCAAGACACTCTAACAATCCACGGGAGAAGCGATCGGCGAATGGTTTTCGACCTCAATCCAACCCAAGTGGTTGGGTTCACTATTTCCCGGCGAATGGTTTTTGACCTCAACCCAAGTGTTTAGGTTCACTATCTTATTTAAAGAAAGTATAGACTAGAGTTAATGCTGAACCATTTATTAGTTAAATAGTCAATCGACTTCACTGGGGATCGAACCTAGAATCTCTGGTTTCGTAGACAAGCGCCTTATCCATTGGGCCATGAAGTACTTAGCCATTATGTAGTTTTAATTGCAATTACTCATAACATTGGAAATGATTTGTATTAACTTGTTGAAAAAGAGATTGGCGCAAGACACACTTACAATCCAAGGGAGAAATATGGTATTCAACCTCAACCCAAGTGGTTAGGTTCACTATCTTAGTTAATGCTGAACCATTAATTAGTTAAACAGTAAATTGACTTCACTGGGGATCGAACCCAGAATCTCTGGTTTCGTAGACTAGCGCCTTATCCATTGGGTCATGAAGTCCTTAGCCATTATGTACCTTTAATTACAATTAATTATAACATTGGAAATGATTTGTATTAGGTTAAAGTACCTAAGAGGTCCCTGTACTATAGCGTTTTGTTCAATTTAGTCCTTATACTTTTATTTTGTTCAATTTAGTCCCTGTACTTTTAAAAGTAGTGCAATTAAGGACAATAGTTAACGATGTTAATATTATCGTTAACATAGGTTACGTGGCACTGATGATATTTATATTCCTACTCATATATTACATTATAAATATTTAAAATCTATCATTTTTACCACCAATATATTAAATTAGTATGTCCAAAATAAATAATTACGACCATGTTCGTAATGAGATTTAGACAATTGTCCTTAGTTTTACCACTTTTTAAAGTAGAGGGACTAAATTGAACAGAATAAAGGTACAAGGACTAAATTGAACAAAACACTATAGTACAGGGACTTCATAGGTACTTTGACCTTTGTATTAACCGCCTTATCCATTGGGCCCTGAAGTCTTTAGCCATTATGTACTTTTAATTGCAATTAATTATAACAATTGAAATGATTTGTATTAACTCGTTGAAAAAGAGGTCGGCAAGACACTCTAACAATCCCATGGGAGAAGCGATCGGTGAATGGTTTTCAACCTCAACCCAACCCAAGTGGTTGGGTTCACTATTTCCCGGCGAATGGTTTTTAACCTCAACCCAAGTGGTTAGGTTCACTATCTTAGTTAAAGAAAGTATAGATTAGAGTTAATGTTGAACCATTAATTAGTTAAATAGTCAATCCACTTCACTGGGGATCGAACCTAGAATCTCTAGTTTCGTAGACAAGCGCGTTATCCATTAAGCCATGAAGTCCTTAGCTATTATGTAGTTTTAATTACAATTACTCATAACATTGGAAATGATTTGTATTAACTTGTTGAAAAAGAGATCGGCGCAAGACACACTTACAATCCAAGGGAGAAATATAGTATTCAACCTCAACCCAAGTGGTTAGGTTCACTATCTTAGTTAATGCTGAACCATTAATTAGTTAAACAGTAAATTGACTTCACTGGGAATCAAACCCAGAATCTCTGGTTTCGTAGACCAACGCCTTATCCATTGGGCCATGAAGTCCTTAGCCATTATGTACCTTTAATTACAATTAATTATAACATTGGAAATGATTTGTATTAACCGCCTTATCCATTGGGCCCTGAAGTCTTTAGCCATTATGTACTTTTAATTGCAATTAATTATAACATTAGAAATGATTTGTATTAACTCGTTGAAAAAGAGGTCGGCAAGACACTCTAACAATCCCATGGGAGAAGCGATCGGCGAATGGTTTTCAACCTCAACCCAACCCAAGTGGTTGGGTTCACTATCTCCCGGCGAATGGTTTTTGACCTCAACCCAAGTGGTTAGGTTCACTATCTTAGTTAAGGAAAGTATAGACTAGAGTTAATGCTGAACCATTAATTAGTTAAACAATAAGCCGACTTCACTGGTGATTGAACCCAGAATCTCTGATTTCGTAGACCAGCGCCTTATCCATTGGGCCATAAAATCCTTAGCCATTATGTACATTTAATTGTAATTAATTATAACATTGGAAATGATTTGTATTAACTCGTTGAAAAACAGGTCGGCAAGACACTCTAACAATCCACGGGAGATGGGATCGGCGATTGGTTTTCGACGTAAATCCAACCCAAGTGGTTGGGTTCACTATCTCCCGGCGAATGTTTTTTACCTCAACCCAAGTGGTTAGGTTCACAATCTTAGTTTAGGAAAGTATAGACTAGAGTTAATGCTAAACCATTAATTATTTAAACAATAAATCGACTTCACTGGGGATCGAACCCAGAATCTCTGGTTTCGTAGACTAGCGCCTTATCCATTGGGCCATAAAGTCCTTAGCCATTATGTACATTTAATTGCAATTAATTATAACATTGGAAATGATTTGTATTAACTCGTTGAAAAACAGATCGGCAAGTCACTCTAACAATCCACGGGAGAAGCGATCGGCGAATGGTTTTTGACCTCAATCCAACCCAAGTGGTTTTGTTCACTATCTCCCGGCGAATGGTTTTTTAGTGGTTGGGTTCACTATCTCCCGGAGAATGGTTTTTGACCTCAACCCAAGTGGTTAGGTTCACTATCTTAGTTAAAGAAAGTATACACTTGAGTTAATGCTGAACCTTTAATTAGTTAAATATTAAATCGACTTCACTGGGGATCAAACCCAGAATCTCTGGTTTCATAGACAAGCGCCTTATCCATTGGGCTATGAATTCCTTAGCCATTATGTAGTTTTAATTGCAATTACTTATAACATTGGAAATGATTTGTATTAACTCGTTGAAAAAGAGGTCGGCGCAAGACACACTTACATTCCATGGGAGAAAAATGGTTTTGAACCTCAACCCAAGTGGTTAGGTTCACTATCTTAGTTAAGGAAAGTATAGAATGGAGTTAATGCTGAATCATTAATTAGTTAAATAATAAATCGACTTCACTGGGGATCGAACCTAGAATCTATGGTTTCGTAGACAAGCGCCTTATCCATTGGGCAGTTTTAAACGAGGTCGGCGCAAGACACACTTACAATCCATGAGAGAAAAATGGTTTTCAACCTCAACCCAAGTGGTTAGATTCACTATCAACTTCACTGGGGATCGAACCCAGAATCTCTAGTTTCGTAAACCAACGCTTTATCCATTGGGCCATGAAGTCCTTAAATAACTTTTAATTGCAATTAATTATAACATTGGAAATGATTTGTCTTAACTCGTTGAAAAAGAGGTCGGCGCAAGACACTCTTACGATCCATGGGAGATGCGATCGGCGAATGGTTTTCGACCTCAACCCAAGTGGTTGGGTTCACTATCTCCCGGCGAATGGTTTTCGATTTTAACCCAAGTGGTTAGGATCACTATCTTAGTTAAGGAAAGAATATGCTAGAGTTAATACTGAACCATTAATTAGTTAAATAGTAAATCGACTTCAGTGGGGATCGAACCCAGAATCTCTGTTTTCGTAGACCAACGGATCCATTGGGCCAAGAAGTTCTTAGCCATTATGTAATTTTAATTTTAATTGCAATTAATTATAACATTGGAAATGATTTGTATTAACTCGTTGAAAAGGAAGTTGGCGGACACTGTGCAACAATCTATGGGAAAATGGTTTTCAACCTCAACCCAAGTAGTTAGGTTCAACCATCAACCATTAATTAGTTAAATAATAAATCAACAACCTCAACCCAAGTAGTTAGGTTCAACCATTAATTAGTTAAATAATAAATCAACTTCACTGGGGATTGAACCCAGAATCTCTCGTTTCGTAGACTAGCGCCAAATCCATTATGCCATGAAGTCCTTAGCCATTATGAAGTTTTAATTGCAATTAATTATAGCATTGGGAATTATTTTTAATAACTCGTTGAAAAAGAGGTCGGCGCAAGACACATTTACAATCCATGGGAAAATGGTTTTCAACCTCAACCCAAGTGGTTATGTATGTTGAACCATTAATTAGTTAAATAGTAAATTGACTTCACTGGGAATTAAAACCATAATCTCTGGTTTCGTAGACCAGCAACTTATCCATTGGGCCATGAAGTCCTTAGCCATTATGTACTTTTAATTGCAATTAATTATAACATTTGAAATAATTTGTATTAACTCGTTGAAAAAGAGGTCGGCGCAAGACACTCTTACAATCCATGGGAGAAGCGATCGGCGAATGGTTTTCGACCTCAACCCAACACAAGTGGTTGGGTTCACTATCTCCCGGCGAATGGTTTTCGACCTCAACCCAAGTGGTTAGGTTCACTATCGTAGTTAAGGAAAGTATAGGCTAGAGTTAATACTGAACCATTAATTAGTTAAATAGTAAATCGACTTCACCGGGGATTGAACCAAGAATCTCTGATTTCGTAGACCAGCGGATCCATTGGGCCATGAAGTCCTGACCTCAACCCAAGTGGTTAGGTTCACTATCTTAGTTAAGGAAAGTATAGGCTAGAGTTAATACTGAACCATTAATTAGTTAAATAGTAAATCGACATCACTGGGGATCGAACCCAGAATCTCTGATTTCGTAGACCAGCGGATCCATTGGGCCATGAAGTCCTTAGCCGTTATGTTGTTTTAATTGCAATTAATTATAACGTTGAAAAAGAAGTTGGTGCAAGACATGGGAGAATGGTTTTCTAATTAGTTAATAGTTAAATAGTAAATCAATTTCACTGCGAATCGAACCCAGAATCTCTGGTTTCAAAGACCAGCGCCTTATCCATTGGGCCATGAACTCCTTAGCCATTATGTAGTTTTAATTGCAATTAATTATAGCATTGGAAATATTTTGTATTAACTAGTTTAAAAAGAGGTCGACGCAATGGGAGAAGTGATCGGCGAATGGTTTTCGACCTCAACCCAAGTGGTTAGGTTCACTATCTTAGTTAAGGAAAGTATAGGCTAGAGTTAATGCTGAACCATTAATTAGTGAAATAATACATCGACTTCACTGGGGATCGAACCCAGAATCTCTGGTTTCGTAGACTAGCGCCTTATCTATTGGGCCATGAAGTCCTTAGCTATTATGTACTTTTAATTGCATTTAATTATAACATTGGAAATGATTTGTATTAACTCGTTTAAAAAGAGGTCGGCGCAAGACACTCTTACAATCCATGGGAGAAGCGATCGGTGAATGGTTTTCGACCTCAACCCAACCCAAGTGGTTGGGTTCACTATCTCCCGGCGAATGGTTTTCGACCTCAACCCAAGTGGTTAGGTTCACTATCTTAGTTAAGGAAAGTATAGGCTAGAGTTAATACTGAAACATTAATTAGTTAAATAGTAAATCGACTTCACCGGGGATCGAACCAAGAATCTCTGATTTCGTAGACCAGCGGATCCATTGGGCCATGAAGTCTTGACTTCAACCCAAGTGGTTAGGTTCACTATCTTAGTTAAGGAAAGTATAGGCTAGAGTTAATACTGAACCATTAATTAGTTAAATAGTAAATCGACTTCACTGGGGATCGAACCCAGAATCTCTGATTTCGTAGACCAGCAGATCCATTGGGCCATGAAGTCCTTAGCCGTTATGTAGTTTTAATTGCAATTAATTATAACATTGGAAATGATTTGTATTAACTCATTGAAAAAGAAGTTGGTGAAAGACACTATTGCAATCCATGGGAGAATGGTTTTCAACCTCAACCCAAGTAGTTAGGTTCAACCACTAATTAGTTAATAAATTAATTTCCCTGGGGATCGAACCCAGAATCTCTGGTTTCGTAGACCAGCGCCTTATCCATTGGGCCATGAAGTCCTTAGCCATTATGTAGTTTTAATTGCAATTAATTATAGCATTGGAAATGATTTGTATTAACTAGTCAAAAATGAGGTCGACACAATGGGAGAAGTGATCGGCGAATGGTTTTCGACCTAGAGTTAATGCTAAACCATTAATTAGTGAAATAGTACATCAACTTCACTCGGGTTCGAACCCAGAATCTTTGGTTTCGTAGACCAGCACCTTATCCATTGGGCCATGAAGCCCTTAGCCATTATGTACTTTTAATTGCATTTAATTATAACATTGGAATAATTGCATTTAATTATAACATTGAAAATGATTTGTATGCATTTAATTATAACATTGGAAATGATTTGTATTAACTCGTTGAAAAAGAGGTCAGCGCAAGACACTTACAATCCATGGGAGAAGCGATCGGCGAATCCAAGTGGTTGGGTTCACTATCTCCCGGCGATGGTTTTCGACCTCAACCGAGGTGGTTAGGTTCACTATCTTAGTTAAGGAAAGTATAGGCTAGACTTAATACTGAACCATTAATTAGTTAAATAGTAAATCAACTTCACTGGGGATCGAACCCAGAATCTCTGGTTTCGTAAACCAGCGCCTTATCCATTGGGCCATGAAGTCCTTAGCCGTTATGTAGTTTTAATTGCAATTAATTATAACATTGGAAATGATTTGTATTAACTCGTTGAAAAAGAGGTCGGCGCAATAGGAGAAGCAATCGGTGAATGGTTTTCGACCTCCCTTGGGTTCACTATAGATAGTTAATGAAAGTGTAAGTTAGAGTTAATGGTGAACCATTAATTAATTAGTTAAATAGTAAATCAACTTCACTGGGGATCAAACCCAAAATATCTTGTTCCGTAGACCAGCGCCTTATCCATTGAGCCATGAAGTCCTTAATTATTATGTAGTTTTAATTGCAATTAATTATAACATTCGAAATGATTTGTATTAAATCATTGAAATGATCGATCTCAAGACACGTACTCTTACAATCCACGGAAGAAGCGATCGGCGAATGGTTACTTTTATTTGTGAACAACTAGAAAGTTAGATGATGTCCTCTCAAAAAAAAAATAAATAAATAAATAAAAAAGAAGAAGAAAGTTAGATGATTTGTTAGATAAGGATAGTTCACGGGGGATCGAACCCAAAATTGTGGTTTTGTAAACTAGCGCCTTATCCATTGGGTCATGAAGTCCTTATTATCAAATTGATATATATATATATATATATATATATATATATATATATAGGAAATAAATGTAATAAATGTGAGCTCAAGGAGTGGTACCTCATAAATAACTAATAATTTGTGTTTATTTATGTGTACTTTGAACAAATATTATGATATTCAATTTCAAAATTATAAAATGCGATAGTTTATTTAAAAACTGTTGTATATATTATTTATTTTTAAAAATAAAAGAATGGTTAGCAACCGCCATATATAATACATATAGGAAAAAAAACGATTGGTAGGAAAAAAAATGTTATTAAACACCATAAAATTGAAGTTATGATTGAATTTAGCATGCTTTTATTCTAAATTATTACATGTCATTATCATATTTTACAACAAAAAAAAAAAAGAAAAAAAAAAGGAACAACTAATACAAATTAACACTAAAATCATTCAAAAATAAGTGCAAAATAAATAAATATAGTCATGAAAGGGCTGGTGAGTGAGTGAAGCATGATGCACAATATCTTCCTAGTGCGATTATCTTTTCATATGTTATTTGTATTATTGCATTTATAAAATCAAAATTTATCTAGTAGACACTCTTGTGTAGTGTTTGGTGGTTTCCTCGTCACCAAAATAAATAAATAAAAACCTGACCTGTGGTATAAACTATAGGTGTCATCATTGCAAAGTTTGGTGCAAAGGCAAAATAATGTACAAAAAGCAATGCATTACATTCCATTATTGGATTCCTCGAAGGCAAAAAGTATTACTTCATAAATGAACATATTTGCACAAACAGTCCATATAGCTTAACAGAGTCTCTTGCAATTTAACAGATTTTTGTATTATGGGATCGGAGAATTACAATTTTCATGTTTATGTTATTAGGAAGTAATTGTTATTTTTATCTCTAGTCCATTTTTTACCCAAACTCATATTTAAGTTGCTCTTTTCATATAGCTAGTAATTGTCCCGTACGATGCACGAACTATTATTAATTTAATAAATTTATCAATTATTCCGTAAATTTTTGACATTCTCTGAATTAGCAAAGAAAGTAATGGTTGTGAAAACAGAAAAACGTACTTGAGTTCTTGAGCTCAATTATAATTAGTTTTATAATTAATTTGTTTTATTAATATATAACTATACAATATAATATATAATATTTTTAAAATTTTAATTATGCTATTATTATGTTGATTTTGAAGTTTATTGTTATTTATATTATTATTTGAATTTGATTTTTTTTAAAGGAATTTGAATTTGAAATAACTACTTTAATTATATAACTAATGTATTTAAATAAAACTTGTAAATAAAATAACATGCAATATTTGTCGAAAATTTCCACCAAAACCTTATTTTTGAAAAATATTATTTATGTAAGAACTATATTTATTTTATATCTAATTTCTCCTCTATATATATGTGTAGTCAAATTAATTATAATTGAGGTTTAAATGAATATATACACAAATTATATTAAATATAAAATTTACGAATAAATTTGAACACAATAAACTTTTTTCCATACTTCATTATGTTTTAATATATATAGAGATAGAGATAGAGCTATAATAATAAAATATAATTTATAAAATATTTTTTTTTGAAAATATAATTTATAAAATATAAATACACATGAATACATCTACCCACACAATTAATACATTCATACTTGCTAATCTTGTTTCTATCAAAATGCATTCACACTTTGGAGGGAAAATTTTGTGACTAGATTATGCTTTATTATATATACTAGTAGTTGCACCCGTGCGGTGTACGACAATATGTATACATATTATAATGATAGATATTATAATTGTCAAAACAATAATAGGATATTGATCTCTTTAAAATTGATTATACATTATTGAATACTTCTTTGTATACGACATTTGTAGTCGTATTTTTAGATTTTACATTTTCATCCCAAATAAGAATTTTTAATCCCTTAGGATTACTAACTCTTGACACTGCTACATACATTTGACCATGATTAAAAACCGTCCTCTTAAAAAATAAACCCACGTTGGATAGTGTCTGCCCCTGGCTTTTATTTATTGTCATTGCATATGACAACATCAGTGGAAATTGCTTCCTTTGGAACTTAAAAGGCAATCTTGGATCAGAAGGTGTTAAGGGCATCCTTGGAATTAAGACCTTTGTACCCGCACTTGCCCCGCATAGTATTTGAGCTTCTAAAACATGATCTACCAACTTTGAAATGATCATTCTTGTACCATTGCACAACCCCAATGAGTGATCAATATTCCTCAAAAGCATAACTGGTGAGCCAACTTTTAGAGTCAATGAGTGATTTGGAACACCTGAACACCTTAATCCATTTAAAAATTCCGGAGTGTGTAGATCAGCCAGCATGTCAACATTTGAATCAGATTTAACCGAATCACAATCGAGATACGTCCTTCCTTCTGCATTATTATAGTCATTCATGTATTCATTTACTGCATCCACAATATCCAAAGTTGGTGCCAAAATAGCACGATCTTTTAGATATTGAATATCACTGTGACCTCTGCGGAACATTGGGAAAATGCTATCAACAATTGTAGAAATTGGATCTTCAACACAAGTTAGCACAAATTCTTCAGGAATATTTATCTCACATTCTCCATGCAAAGAATCACCAATTGTTCCATCACCTATATTAGCAATCCACTTTGCAAATTCTTCAATCTCTTTAACTTCAGTATCTGATTGCAATGACCTAAGCCTGAGATTCTTTGTTAGCCTAAATACTTTACAGCTTCTCCAAAGATATGAT